AATGCGGTTACCTTCCCGAAGTTAGGTGAAATCCGGTGTTAAATTCCTCTCCTGTGAATGCTGTTGGTGGTTGTTGTCAGGAAAACATTGCAGCCAAATAGTTTTGATGGCAAGAGTGGATTCAGATTGAATCTCTAGCCCTGGTAGTAGGGCAGTCTCCTGTCACATACTGCCCTGTGCCAGTGTCAGGTAACTTATATGGACTAAGTGGAACTGAGATGAGAGTGGTTTTGTCTGAAGGTACTTACCTGAATGCCATAATTCTGCAGAGCTCGGGTCAGGCAGTTGTTAAAGCACACCTGTAAATGGTTTAAGTTTGATACTGGACAGCATGTGTCTTTCCGAAATGAAATGGATAACAAAGGGAGGCTTCTGCCCAAGTGGGCAGCCGCTTTGCATTTACTATGGCAGGCACTTCCTCACCTCAGCCTTGTGAAAGGTGTAGCACTGCCCAAAATGGGATGCAGCTAGCAGAACGTACAAAAAATGGATGTGATCCTTCTGTAGGCACGGTAGCTGTGGAAAGAAGGCTGAGGGAAGTCTTGGGTTTCTCTTTTTCCACTGAGGAATACCCCTCTTTGAAAACAGAGCTTTTGGAAAGCGTGACTGATGAGCTCTTTCCGCCTTACCTACCTGCTGCAGCTGAAAGTGTTGTGTTAAACCTTCCTTCTTTTGAGTTTAAAAGCCTTTTTGTGGTCTTTGGGGAAACGTGTCAGGCAGATTCCTCTGAACTTTGCGCCCTCAGTGTCACATCTCAAACGTGCTGTGTTTGGTCCTTCTGCGACCAAACGTTCAGTGAGGAGAGGTGCATGCTTGCAGTCCTTCATCCAGTACTGAGAGCAAAAGAGGTCAGCCAGGCTTGGCAAAGGACTAGAAGTACTTCACTGCTAAACACTTCCAGTTCAGGTCTGTGTGATGAGTTTTATGTTGGCTGCAACAGTGGCAGAACTGCTGGTTCATTTCAAGAGTTTGAGGAGAGAAAAGCTGCAAGGAGGACTGAAAGTCCCCTGTTATTTTAAATGAGAGGAGAGGAGGAGTTGGGGATGTATGAAAGTAGTCAGCTTGGCTGCAGTTCCTGCAGGGTGATGTGAGTAGGAGGGTAAATTGACAGGGAATTGTCAAGGAGATATTTTTCAGACCATTCTAATTTCCTTTGTTTAAATGGTTTCATAGAAAGCCAGAACTCCCCTTATTCTTTCCTCAGCCACTGCCATCTCCTTACACTCTTGTGAGGAAATAGGGAAACGTGGCTTCATTGTAGGGTGGCTACGAAAAGGAATGGGTAAGTGTTGAAAGAAGTAGCAAAGACAATGGCAATGAAGGCTGCTTTGTATGGGGGTTTTGCTCTGGTGTGTCCTGAGTAAACTTCTGTCAATGCCTTTCACTCACAGCCTGCATGACAGTCAGCTCTATTTGTTAGAGTTTCACATGACTTAAAGCTGGAAGAGCAAGGACAACGCCAGAGTTCAAAACTGGTCTATGTTTTTGGAAGGAGGAGAAGTTTGGAGGAGCCAAGTGCAAGTTAATACACTGAGGAAGAGTAATCAGCTAGTCAGACATTACATGGAGAAGAAGAGGCTTTACAGAAGTTGCTGAGATCAGTGTCTAGGGATTACGGTAGTAGGATTACAGATCAGTGTGCTAGGTTTTCTACCTAGTGCCAGACTGGAAGTGCTAAGCCTAAAGAAAAATCCTTCTCTAGCCTTAAGTCCTCAAATACGTACAAGGCTTGGGAAAGATGAACAGCATGCTCCCCATGCCCACAGTGGCAAAAAGAAGTGTGCCAGTATAGACTGAAATCAAGCCTATGTACACCCTCCACTCCCCAAAGGTAGAATCTTCCTCCACAAAATACACCCATTTTGTCCCAGATCATGCAGGGTCAGTTAGCATCCATTTTTTGTACGTTCTGCTAGCTGAACAATCAGTACGTTGATGGAGTGGGAGAAAGGACTTGTTGACCCAATATAGAAGTTTATTAAGGTCTTGTATGTACATAACCTTCCCTTGCTGAATCAGGGCTTAACAGTCTGAGCTCAGGTGGCTGCGTGTGGCTGCAGCCCGACAGCACTTCCCCAGAGTGCCCCTGCCTCCAAACGGAGCCTGTGGGCTAGTAGAAGGGTCTCAGTTCTAGTTCACCTTCCTTAAAGATGGATCATGGTTATTTACCAACCCTCTTACCTTTTTATCCACTGCTTTCTGTGCAGGAGCATGGTAGTGTCTGGAGTTGAAGCAGGCTATGCTATGTCTTCACAGCTCTTGGCAAGAGCTATATTCATGCTGCCTCTGAAACCTGGCTGGGAATCTGCTTCCCATTCTTCCTGAAAGTCTCAATTCCCTTCTGTGCTGCTGTTTCTTGTGTGCGATCTCTTGACATCCTCTGCTCTACGCTCTGCAATAGTTCCTTGGACACCTTCTTACTTGCAGGGTAAGACCAATCTGATCCCCTCCATTGGATTTGATCTGCTCTGATCTGCACCAAAGCCAGATGAGGCAAACCAGGAGCTGGCCTCCTCTTTTCAAGGATTTCCTGGGTTTTATTTGAAAAGCCAGAGGATAAGGGCAGAGAAAAACAAGACTCAGGAATGCGTTTTGTTCTGGTAGGGGCCTGGAAAAGGAAAACATGAAGCTTGTGAATGAAAGGGGGACAAGGTTGAGAGCTTGTGTAGAATGCTTCATCCTGAAAAACCCAGGGCCTGGAGAGCTGTAATTTGACTTTAAAAAGCACCTTTAGGTGTCTGGAGTGGTGGAGGAGGGTGATCCTCATGAACAGGTTGAAGTATTTTCATGCTGCTCATGACTCTAGTTTCTTTTCTGCCATTTGGTGTATTAGAGCTGAGCGTCGGGGAGTGTGACTGTAGAAAGCAAACGAGCACAGCAGCACCTAGAAATTCTGTGGCTGGGTTTGGGTGTTGTTGCTGTGTATGTCTGGGGCTTTTTTCCTGTGCTTTTTTATCCTTAGGAAAGACACAGTCTCAAGGATTTGCATACCAACATAGCAGGTCTCCAGCCTCAGACTGCTGCTGTCACTGGGGAAACTTCAGCCTTTCTATGCTTTATTCCCTTATTTCCTCTTTGGATTCTTGAAGGTAGAAGAGTATTTGAATGACACAGCCAACAAAAGCAGACTTTATCTGTTGTTTCTTTCCCACCACCCCTGCGTTATCTGGAAGTTTGGTGAATTCTGAGCAGCAAAGACAATAGCGAGGCTCTGTGCAGGAGGCAGGAGTCCCTCTCGGGGGGGAAACCGAAGCCTCTTTGGGGACGAGAGGCTTTCTGTGCAATCCAGTGATAGAGGCAGTCCTATCGCTCTGTTAATGAAGGCTGTTTCAGAAGGTGAAGCTGATTTATAACATGCAAGCAATTGAAGAAGCTCAAATGCTACCAGGACAGACTTCCTTTACAAGGAAAGGTCTCCTTCGTGTTTGTGCTTTTCCTAAGAAACCAGGCTTCATAATTATTCTGTGACTTGCTGAAACAAATCTGATTATTCAGTAGATGTTCCTCTTCAAGGTGGTCGTGCCATACTTCAGTGTTTCGTTATTGACCTTACTGTGACAGATGAAGTAGTTTGGAGAGGCGTATTTTTCTGACCCTTTCTGAAAGGTTCAGTGTGTGTGGAGGAAGCTTCATTTTGTGTTTGGGAATATATTTTAACCCTTTTCAAACAATGCATTTCCCAAGCGCTGTGGTTTTGCCTTCAACTTATTAAAGTGCCCAAAAGGAAAACCATATTCTTAACTGGATCATGTATTGCTTACTGCCAGATCAAGTGGGAGAAGTGATGCTGGTGGCATCTTCTTCCTGGTCTCAACCCAGCCTGGGGCTTCAAAAGGCAGTTTAAAAACTTTTAGCCAAGTGGGGTTTGAGTGTGATGCTGCAGTCTGAGAGTACACTGGTAGGCACAGTGCTTGCAAAATATGCTTTATGCATGAGGGTTGTTGCTTAGTTGTTGTGTCTATGGAAAATGAGGATTTTCTAGGCCCTGCAAACAGACCTTGTAAGTTTGGCTGTGTGGTTTGTAAGTGTTCCCTTTGGTACTTGCCATAAAGAGAGGAGGAATCCTTGCAGCTCTGGGTTGAAGTGACTCCCTTCAAAAGCCCTATTAACCTTTTAGTCTGCTCACTGTCCTTCTTGGTTTGCTGACAGACAGCTGGTAGTGGCTCAATTTGTATTGCCACGATGCTTCTAGTACATCCCGCTTCTAGTCCTAGTGGAGGAAAGGTGGAGTTTGTCAGAGTACAGGTGGGAGTCTTGGTATTAAAGACCCCATTTTCTCTCAACCTGATTTTATGTTATCTGGAAAACTCTTCTCTGGGCACATTACTCTTCTTTCTGTCCTCTGTGGATGATGAAGTTGAGACAAGCCAAAGTGATATTGACACATAATCTTTCTGCCTGACCAAATCCAGCAGATATACAGTAATTAAAATTCACTTCTGAATGCAAAGTAGATGTTAATTACAGAACTCCTTTGGGAATAGCTAAAATGGAAAAGTAATCATGCTTGTCCTGAGCTCCAGTGGAAATAAAGCACTGTTTTATGGCACTTGCGAGGCGTGTTGAGCTCAGAATTGGAAACACTTTAGGATTGAATTATTCCTAATGTTTCTTAATCTTCGTTATACAGAGCAAGTGACTGGGCTGGTGTGTTGTGGTACCCCCACCAGAAAAGGCCAAGCAAGGAGCCTTCATGTCGTTTGATATAAACGTGGTACTCAAGCACATATAATAGCTTGCGTGAGCTTCGACGAGGCAGACTGCTGTGTTGGTCAGTGGATTGCTCAGGAGCTGCCATATGAGCAGCTGAATGTGTTAGAGATGAAAACCTCTTTAAGAGCCCATCGGTGTATATAGCCAAAGCAGAAAATCCTGTTGCATATAGATGAAGCCGTTCCTGGTATGTTCAGGAGACAGTATTGCGCATTGTGAGGTCTCGAAATGAGGCTGTTGAAAAGCCGCAGAGCACTAACCCCAACATTGTGATCTGTGTTTTCCAGGCTCCCTCGTGAGAACCTTCACTCCTCTTTACTTCCTGGTGGAGCCGACGGACGTGCTGTCAGTCCGTGGAGCCTCTGTTGTAATGAACTGCTCAGCTTATTGTGAAACCGCCCCAAAAATCGAATGGAAGAAAGATGGGACTTTCCTAAACCTGGTGTCAGATGACCGGCGCCAGTTGCTGCCAGATGGATCTTTATTAATAAACAGTGTGGTGCATTCCAAGCATAATAAACCTGATGAAGGATATTATCAATGTGTGGCAACTGTGGAAAGCCTGGGGACCATTGTCAGCAGGACAGCAAAGCTCACTGTAGCAGGTGAGTCTCTCCCTCGTTGTGAAGTACCATGAACAGCATGATAATGTTGATGTGTGCTCTTCCCATGCAAAAAAGAGGCAGGTGCTTTCCAGGAAAGGAAAAGCTCCTTTTGTCAGTGTCCTGGGTTCAGCAGTAGCAGTCATGTTTCTCCTCCTTGGTAGCTGGTGCAGTGCTGTGTTTTGACTTTCGGCTCGGGAACAGAGCTGATAGAGATGTTTTGGTTTGGCCAAGGACTTTGTGAGCCTCATGCTCTGCCAGGGAGGAGGGGAAGCCAGGAGGAAGCAGAGACAGGACACCTGACCCAAACTGACCAAAGAGGTATTCCATACCACAGCACGTCATGCCCAGGATGTAACTGGGAGTTAGCCGGAAGGGCTGAGAGACTGCAGGGTTGGAGGAGGTATCGGTCGGAGCTTGGTCGGGCTTGGGGGGCGAGTTATCGGTCAGCGGGTGGTGAGGTGTTGTATTCTCTTCCCTTGTTATTTCCTTTATCATTATTATCATTGGTGGTAGCAGTAGTGATTTGTGTTATACCTTAGTTACTAAACTGTTCTTATCTCAACCCGTGGGAGTTGCATTCTTTTGATTCTCCTCTCCGTCCCTCCGAGAGCAGGGGGAGGGCAAGAAAGGGGGGGAAGTGAGCGAACGAATTACCTGACTGGGTTTAAACCACGACAGTCAGTTATCAGTGAAACTGGGACCGTTTCTCTCCTTTTGGTAGCTGAAATTTGTCATGTGTTCTGTTCATCTAAGTGGTTTAATGTGTGGGTATTTCTCAGGAAATGCTGAAGATCAGGAAAACTGAGACGGGTGGATTAAAAAGAAGTGTCAGGAGCATGTAATCACAATCTAGATTTACTACAGCTTAGAAGATTTAAAAGGAACAGGGATAAACACCCTTAAAAAATGACTTTCTCTGCCTGCTTTTAGGTTGACATTTATCTGCCCTCTGCCATGAAACATTTGGGAAGCTCCTAAAAGCTGGAGATGGGTACAGTGTCTGAGGAACTGGTGGAGGATGGAGGCAGGAGTGCTCGGGGGTTGTAGTTTTCTGTTGAGTCTCAGGTGTGTGATACTCAACAGGAAGTCTGGAAAGTAACAAACTTTTAGAGCTTTCCTGACAGAGGTTGAGGAACCCAAGTCATCACCTCACTTTGGGGTTTTGAGTGACCTTTAGACTAATAGCTTTTATTTAGGGGGTAGGAAGCAGCAGGTGACTGAAGTTTGCATATTAGAATAAAGACTGATTTGGGAAGTGATCTGTGTTCAGAATGTTGTTTCCTTCTGTCTCGGAGGTTGGAAGTGTCAGACTGTGTGTGTCTTACAAACGGTGTAGCTGGAAGAGACTTAGCATTTGTAAGAGTGAGACTTCAAAAACCAACTGGAAAAAAAAGGCAGTGTAACTCCGAAAAAGCCCATGGAGCAATTTTCTTTTGTGTCTCTAATGATGTTTGCCAGCCTTTTTCAAACAGTGGGCTTTTTCTTTGCTTAATAAATGTCTGGAGGTAATGAATTCTTCCTGACTAGTGCTACAGCATCTCCCAGAGCTGCTGCTTGCTGTCATTTATATTCCAATGTTGTCTCCATTAAGTTAGCTTGCAGCATTGTTGTGGAACATCAGAAATGAAAAACTGGGGGGTTTTATACCTTAGGAGTGACTTTAGGAGTCTCTGAATGAGAAATACATTTCTGAGTTTCTTGGCAATGAGGACAATAAAAACAGTTCCCAGGCAATTACCACCTTCTTCCATCGCTGCTGTTGTGATTAATTGTGCTGCGTTCTACATGAGATCACTCAGCATCTTGCTTCTGTTACCATCCTGCTCTGCATGATCATTAGGTGAGGGTAATGGGGTTAAAAATGAAGGTAATCCAAAATGCCTTCAGAATTTCCAGTTCAGGTTTTTCTGTATTAATGTTGAAGACAGTATTTTAATTGATAGGTTTTAAAACAGTGGAGCCTTTTAGTGTTAAAACCAGCAGCAACATCGGTGCAATGCTGAGTTTTGTTTTCGCAATTTTCAGTAGAAATTTGACCATATCTAGTCTAACCAAAGCCAGTACAAATTTTTAGCACGTAAATTGTTGCCCCTTTATCTTGTGTTGGCCTAATGGCAATATTAGGGGGTTACTGATGGATTCCACGCAATAAAAACTCTAATCTTGGTTGTTCAGAACTAGAGGAAGTGCTCTTGATGCATGTTCTGTGCTGCCTTGTGCCGTCCTGTTTGGTCAGAAACTTGCCCAAGAGCATCCTCTGCCTGCAGGGTGCATAAGCTGTTCTGCTGCTCCAAAAGGCTTGTCAAATGGAGATAGGTGTAGCAGGATTTACTGCCTGAGCGTAGTGCCGAGAGCCATGCAGCACTGCAGAGTTCAGCCCTGTAGCTGGGGGAAGGGTAGCTTGGGTTGCTAAAGGCTTTGCAATAAGAGGGGGAGCGTTTAAATTCTGGTTTAATGATACTGCTTTTCCTGACCTCATTTGAATCCCTCAGTTCATCAGTTGCTTTTAATGTCTTCCCTCGCTCTTTGTTTTAATTGGGAGCTCTTAGGCTGTGGTACGTGTGGGGTTAGTTAGCATGGTGAGGTCTCTCCTTGGCCTTGAGATAACAGTGGGAGGCAGCTAATTCCCCTCTTAATTGAGCAGTGGTGTGTGGATATGTATGGGGTGTGTGAACGCTGCACTGCAACGCACCTGATCTCTTAAAAAGGATATTCCAAAGCAGAGCTCACATCTTTTAATGGCTTCTTGACTTCACTGCCTGAAAATGCTCAGTTCTGGGGAGTAATGTAGGCCAGGGCAAAACAAATCCAGTAAAAACTGCTCAGTAAGGACTTTTTATATGTTATAGTTTGGATGTAAAGTTTGAGTGTTACGAGGTGCAGCTCATTCCTTGCCATGGGGTGACAGGAGTTGATAGCACAAAGGGCTGCGAGGTGACAGCGAGGCTTAGTCACCCTTTGTGTGCAAAAAGCAAACCAAACCGTACACAGTCCGTACCTGAGCGTGGACTGTTCACACACTGACTGAATGCTTCACGTTGGAGAGCTGCTTTCTTGGTTCCATGCTTCAGTCTGTGTGTGTGACACGGCGCTGTAAATGTGTCATGGCAGGGGAAGATTCATGCTGGTTGGGATTGGCAGGTTTGTCATGCATTTGGCATTGTGCTTTTAAAGAACCTTCTCCCTGCATGATAGTAGATGAGAAGCCTTTACTTTGCGGGTGGTTTTGAGGTGTGGGAAGCAAAGTTTCTGTGGGGCTGAGATTCCCACAGAAATGGATCTTTTCCTTCTTTAACCTAATTTCTCACGTGATACAAAAACACAAGTCAGAAGTTACGGTCAGGTATGCGAGCATGAAGAATACTTTACATCAGTAGGGTTAGTCTGTAACTTCAAATTGTGTGAGCTGCTGCTGGATAGCATGCTGCTTTTAAAAGGGGTTTTCCTTGCCTTGAACCCAGACTATGACCCGTCAGACTTGAGCATAGGGGAGTGACGCAGTGTTGTGGGAATATAGTCCATATAATGTCGAGTGTTTTGCCATTCTTATGATGGATTTGAACTAGGGGAAGTCAAAGGAACTGCCTAATTTATGTAAAGCCACCACTTTTTAATCAGTGCCTAACTACAGTGTGTTTTAATTGGCTTTTGAAATGCAAATCTGTCTGCCACACTTAAGTGCTTGTTAGATCTTAAGAAGGGGGAAGGGTTGGAATAGCTCTTACAAAACACGGATTAAAGAAAAGATTTACAAAACGTTAAGGAACTGTGTAATTCCTCTTGGAAAAAGAAGTGTGTATGTGTTCTATGAAGAAGTGTGATGCTGGCTTAAAAACATTCCTGGCATCTTTTTCCTCCAGTCACTATTTACTAGTACTTAGTGAAAGCTTTCTTAAAGCTTTGTTTGAGAGAACAGATACACGAGGACCTAAAAGCTCTGAGGCATGACAGTGGCACTGAGTTTCTAATATTGGATCTATGTAGTCATTTAATGACTGTCCAGTAAATTATTTTTCACCTCTGTGCCTTTTTCCCCCAAGTGAATCCATCTTCTTCATTTACCTTTGCATTAGGTATTTGCCTTTGAGCTTTATATGTAACTTGTGTACTTGTGTTGATGTAGCTGTGTTGTATGTATTTAGATATGTCTGAGCTGCATTAGCTCAAAAAGCACTTTGTTTTCCTCCCACCTTGATGAAATAATCTCCTTGTGTTACTGTTTCTCATTTTAATCCCAGCCTGGTTTGTGTTGGAAGGGACCTTAAAGCTCACCCAGTTCCAACCTCTGCCACAGGCAGGGACACCTTCCACTAGAGCAGCTTGCTCCAAGCCCCTGTGTCCAACCTGGCCTTGCACACTGCCAGGGATGGGGCAGCCACAGCTTCTCTGGGCACCCTGTGCCAGCGCCTCAGCACCCTCCCAGGGAAGAGCTTCTGCCTAAGAGCTCATCTCAGTCTCCCCTCTGGCAGGTTAAAGCCATTCCCCTTGGCCTGTCCCTACAGGCCCTTGTCCCAAGCCCCTCTCCAGCTTTCCTGCAAGCCCCTTTAGGCACTGGAGCTGCTCTCAGGTCTCCCCTTCAGGAGCCTTCTCTTGTCTAGGCTGCCCCAGCCCAGCTCTCTCAGCCTGGCTCCAGAGCAGAGCTGCTCCAGCCCTCGCAGCATCTCCATGGCCTCCTCTGGCCTCGCTCCAACAGCTCCACGTCCCTCTTGTGCAGCTGCCCCATAGCTGGATCAGGGCTGCAGGGGGGGTCTCCCCAGAGCACAGCAGGGGGAGAATCCCCTTCCTGAGCTGCTGCTCACGCTCTGGGTGTGCTGCTGGGTCTGGGGAGCTTTTCCTCACCCAGCACTCCAATCCCTGCTCCTCAGGGCTCCGTCCAGCCTCCTCCGGCCTCTCTTTGTGCTTGGGATTGGTCTGATGCGGGTGCAGGATCTTGAACTTCGTAAGGTTTGCAGAGGGCCATCTCTCCAGCCTATCCAGGTCTGTCTGGATCCTGTCCCTTC